AGGGCGTCCATCCAAAGGCACTAACTCCTGCCTTCCCACAGGTGCTAAAGTCCACAGGGGACGTGGCTGGAGGCCGGGCCCTGTATGAGGGGTATGCGGCGGTCACCGATGCGCCCCCCGAGTGCTTCCTCTCCCTCAGGGACACGGTGCTGCTCCGCAAGGAAGCCCGGAAGCTCATCGTTCAGCCCAACACTCGCCTCGAAGGTAATGGACTGCTGGGCCCCCCGCGACAGAGGGCCCTCCAGGAGTACATAGGAGGTCTGGAACGGACCCCGGAGCTCGGGAAAGGCTGCCCGAGACGGCCCCTGTCTCCCCACCTCCCTCCCGGCCCAGTCCTCCCCATGCCAGACCTGAGGCCCACACCTTCACATCCACCACCACCCAGCACCCCCACACACAGGGTCAGGCTGCTTGAGAGATGGCAAGAGAAGGTTGAGGGCGGCCCGCAGACCAGGGGCTAGTGAAGCAGACACACCCCGGGCCTCAGAGGAGGCCAGGCGTCGTGCTGGAGACTCAGGCCTGGCGGGGCCAGGAGCGAGGTCAGGTGAGGCAGAGAGGAGGCACCCAGCGGGCTGAGTAGAGCCCAGGGGACAGTAGGACTCGGCAGAGCAGTCAAGTGAGAGAAGAGGTCAGCAGCCCCATGGTCCCTCTCCCCTCCGCAAGTGATGTGGTTTCCAAAAGCCTGACCCTGTCAGCCACGCACTTGTACCTTTTGTATAAAGAGCATTTGTGCCTCCATAGTCATGGATAAGTGTGAGAGTTAAATGAAATAATTACCTCCTCCTGGTGACGAGAGAGCATTTCAAAGGTTTAGCCTAAACTCTACTCCGGGGAATTCCCTGGCAGCCCAATGGTTAAGACTCAGCAGTTTCACTCCCGGGGCCTGTGTTCAATCCTGGGGGTGCCAGCACCCTGCTGCATTCACTCTCCTCTCATCCCTTGACTCACCTTTCCTGACACTGGCACGTGAGGCACTTGAGAGGAGGCGATGCCAGGCTGTGGTTAAAACATGAGCTTCAGAACTGCGCTGCAACCTTGGCCTAGTCACTTAACCTTCCTGAGCTTGGGTGTCCTCATTCATAAAGCCCATGTGGCTGTGTGCTGACAGTAGTGAACCTGAGTATTTCCTTCAAGTTCTAAGTGTATTTCAGGGATCCACCCTTTAAATACTCACAATACCCAGTAAAGTGTAGGTGTTATTGCCCCCATTTTACAGATAAGGAAACTGAAGCAGAGAGAGTCAATTACTTAAGGCTTACAGCTTTTTACTGGAGGAACCAAGAGTCAGATTAAGAGCATTTGCTCCTCACTACAGTAGTCACGGGAAGCTGTGAGGGTTAAATGAAATAATTACCTCCTCTTAGGAAAAAGCATGTAAAAGGTTTATTCTAAATTCTAGGGAATTCCCTGGTGGCCCAGTGGCTGAGACTCAGCACTTTCACTACTGGGACTCGGGTTCAGTCCCTCATGTAGGCCTCATGGTACAGCCAAAAAAAAAAAAAGAATGATTAAAATAAAAAACACTTAAAACAGTTAAAAAACAACATAAACTCCACTCTGTGCTCCAGAGGTTTCATGGGGTTTGCCAGCGCCCTCCCCTGGCTCACCACCCTGCAGGCACACCCTCTGAGCTGTCACCCAGCTTTCTTTTCCTCATGTGGCTCTCACTCTGCTGTTTTCCTGTCTGCTCCTCTCCATGGCAACAGGATCAGCACGTCCCCGGCACCTAGCACAGGGCCTGGCCCACGGGAGCCACTCTGTGCCTGTCAGTGAGTGAGTGAGTAGATTATGCCGGGCTCCCAGCAAGTGCTCATTACATGGACAAGATCATCATTGCTTTGACTGTCCAGCCCTGGGCAGGCGTTGGGGATGGACTCCTCACCTCAAGTTGTTCTCAGCTCATTAGGAATAAGACAGAGAAATGGTCTTCCAAGGGAAGTGTTCATGGGTGCCCAAGAGACACAAACAGTGATCTGAACACTTAGAGAAGGGAAGATCATATCTACCTTTGAGAGAATTGGGGAAAGGTGGGTCTGGGGAGGAAGTAGGGGTTAAACTTTGAGGCCCAAAAGAACAGGTTGAATTTTCAAAGGTGGTGGTGATGGTATTAATAGCTCACTTTTGAGGACTTCCATGTGCCAGAGTCTGGGTAAAAACTCTCCACGTATCAACTCCCAACACTTAAATGAGGAAGTTTCCCCTTTTTCAGCTGGAAACTGAGACACAGAGGGGCTGTGTATTTGAAGTCACACAGTGAGTGGCTGGCAGGACCAGGATTTGAACTTGGGCCATCTGAGCTCAGAGCCTGTGCTCTTAGCTGCATACATCCCATAAGGCCACAGACTACAATGAGGCACTGTGAGCAGGTAGAGAAGTGGAGGGATGTTAGAAGGAAGTGCTTCCCACGACTATTCAGAAACACCCCATAGGTTAGATGGGTGCCCTTGGAACAGCCCCAGTTGACAGATGAGGAAGTAGGCTCAGAGATTGTGATGCTTATGATAGCTAGCACTTGCTGAGTGTTCCCTCTACCCATTATATCATATTTAATCACCACAGCTTCTTGAGAGATGTACTATGCTTGCCCCCACTTTATAGATGAGGAGACTGAGGCTTCGGTTAAGAAACTTGCCCAGGGCCCCACAGTAAATGGAGATAAAGCAGTTCCTGGACTGTAAGCTCCAGGAGGCCAAGGACTGTGTCTGTTTCACCTAGCATGGGACTGTTGTAAATCTTTATTAAGTGACTGAATGAATGCAGCAATTCATTAAATACTCCCCCTTTAATGTTTCCTATCTCATAGGATTATGGAGTCAGTTAGATAATGAAATATTGAGCACAATTTTTGGCACATGGTAAAAACTCAGGAAGAACTAGCTGCTCCTATGATTACGATTATGATTCTGTTTCCCTATTAAAACCTTTTCCTGCTGCTGTTTTTTCCTCCATCTCCTCCCCAGGCTCAGAAGTACAACTTCTTGAGTATGAGGCCTCAGCTGCAGGCCTCATCCGATCCTTCTCTGAGCGCTTCCTAGAGGATGGGCCCGAGTTGGAGAAGATCCTCACCCAGCTGGCCACCGCTGATGCCCAGTTCTGGAAGGGCCCCAGTGAAGCCCCATCTGGCCAGGCTTAAGGCACCTGTGAGGCCCCTCTCCGACTCAGTCAAACCAAGGCTGCAAGTGGACCCCTTTCTGTGGGCCCAGGAGAGGGGCAGGAGCCTGGACCTTGGTGCTACCTCAGCCAAGGGTGGCGACACTAAGCCCTTCCATTTGTCAGCACTTTCCAGCTTACCAGTGCTTCCCTTGTGTTATCTCAGTTGATCTACACTGCCTTCTGTGGGGTGGGCAAGGCTCCTCGTCCGGCTTCCCAGATGAGGAAATACAAGTTCTGAGAAACTGACCTGGCTAAATCCTGCAGGATTCAAAACTTCTCCCAATCCAGTGCTCTTCATGTATTACTTTTATAACCAGAAAAATAAATATTAGACACCCCCACCATCTTCGCAATTTGTGTGGTTCTTCCTGGCCTTGGCCTTACGTCTCATTTGCTCCCAGCAGGGTGGTGGGATCAAGTCCTAGGGAGAGGGAAGGAAGGTCATTTTTAGGCTCCCATCCACAACAGGATTTTGACATCACCTCTAAATATGGATATGCAAAGAGTCACATAGATGAACATAACACAATTTTTGCCATCCTTCTTCATGGCTTTTCTTCTGTTTTAAAGAAGAAGGTGAAAACTGGAACTAAGATCATGGCTGTAGCCATGAAATTAAAAGACGCTTGCTCCTTGAAAGAAAAGATATGACAAACCTAGATAGCATATTAAAAAGCAGAGACATCACTTTGCCAACAAAAGTCTGTATAGTCAAAGCTATGTTTTTTTCAGTAGTCATGTATGGATGTGAGAGTTGGACCATAAAGAAGGCTAAGAGCTGAAAAACAGATGCTTTCCAACAGTGGTGTTGGAGAAGACTCTTGAGAATTCCTTGGACAGCAAGGAAATCAACCCAGTCATTCCTTAAGGAAATCAACCTCGAATATTCATTGGAAGGACTGGTGCTGAAGCTGAAGCTCCATTTGTTCACCTGATGTGAAATGCCAACTCATTAGAAAAGACTCTGCTGCTGGGGAAGATTGAAAGCAGAAGTGGGTAACAGAGGATGAGATAGTTGGATGGCATCACTGATTCAATGGACATGAGTTTGAGCAAACGCCGGAAGATAGTGAAGGACAGGGAAGCCTGGCTTACTGTAGTCTGTGGGGTCGCAAAGAGGGACAGGACTGAGTGACTGAACAGCAACAACAAAAAAAATTGGAACACCTCAATCCTAGATTTAATTGCTCTCTCTCTTTTTCTTTTAATCTATTTTTGGCAGCTGGTGTACAGGCTCTAGGACTGGGGCTTCAATACTTGCCGCAGAGGGGCAGAGTCAGGAATTGTGGCTTAGTTGCTCTGTGGCACGTGGGATCTTCCCAGACCAGATCTTCTAAACGGAACAGGTGTTTCCTTCATTGGCAGACAGATGGCTGCTTTACCACTGAGCCACCAGGGGAGCCCAGGAGTTAACCCTTAACCTTTATGTTTTGCTTCTCTATCCTGGACCTCGAGAGTAAGGAGGGAAGAAAGGACGTGGCCCTCTTTCCACCCAGTTAACCGTGAGGATGAGCGGACGAGTTAGTTTTGCTATTAAACTGGAGAAGGGTACCTCTCCAGGCCTCAAAGCTCGAGGGTCCCGCGGCTGAGCCAGAGGTGCAGTGCCTAGAAGCTCCTGATGGGAAGAATCAGAGATAAATTATATACGTCGGAATGAGGGATTGCATTTCAGCTGGTAGAAACCCCCCGGCGCAAGGACCAGCGCAACTTGCTCAGTAGCCTCTCAGTCCCGGGCCGGAAAGTTGAGCGCCCGGAACCTTGACACTCAAGCTTCCCCCCAACCCGGGCGCTTTTGGGCGCCGCGCGGCGGCTGACCAGACCCGGTTGCCAAGGTGACGCCTGGGAAGATGGCTGCTACGTCTTCGTTGCAGGCAGACGGCGGCAAAGGCAAGAGGTGAAGGCTGGAATCCTTGAGACCCCTTTTCCCGCATATATAAAGATGAGGCCCCGGTCCCTGGGATCTGGGATCCCGTGAGTCTCAGCAGCGCCGGCAGTCCTTAAAGGGCTCTTAAAGATCCCATAGGGAAGCAGACCCAGGGAGTGATTGGGTGTGTGTGGGTGACTCGAGTGCCGCGGTGGGGAAGCCGGAACTTGGACGCTGACTCTATCCCCCTAGTTCGGAGCTTCCTACACACCTCATTCCCAGAAACCAGTTCCCGCAAAATGTTCTTCCTTCCCCTGGGATTCATCTTCTGCCCCCGACCCCCCACCCGCGTCCCCCAACTCTGTCCCTCTTCTCCCAGCAGTGAGGCCAGTTCGAAATGGCTGAACGCAGTTTCCGATCCCATGACGAACATCCACACCTTTCCCGCCTGCATGGGTGAGTCTCTGGGACCAGGAACCCCGGTTCTGGGGAGACCGGGGAGTCAGATGGTCCTATAATTAAGCTTCTAGGATGCTGAGACCCTGGTTTATGGCCCTTTTTATGTTTTCCAGCGCTGGCCGATTTGCACGGGGACGGGGAGTACGAGGTAAGCCTGTCACCCCAGAAGTGAGGTTTCCTGATAGTTCCAAAGAAGCTCAACGTAGTCTGGAATTCATGTGCACTTTGAAAAAGCACGTTTAGTGTTACGCCTTATTTTTAACGTGGAAGTGGAGAGAACCTGTTGATTTCATGTGACAGACTGCAGAAAGTACAGCTAAACAAAATGCTGCTGGAGATTATACTAAGACAAAGCCTCTTCATTTTGTTGACGTTAATTCTTTGCTGGAAGGGTACATCCCATGGTTGGGGGTGGGGCGTCAGAATCTGGAGGGAATTTAAAAGGGAGGAGACTGAGAGTTTTATGTTTATCAAAAGGGTATAAATTTTAAGGTTAACCATGAGCTGATCATCTTGAAACTGGATGATGGCTATTTGGGGGTTCGTTATATGAGTCTCTATGACTCGTATATGACTGAAATTTTTCCATAATAAAAAGATTAAATTTAAAACCAAGATAAAAATGTAAAGATAAGTAAAGAAATAAAGTAAAAAAATTTAAAGACACAGATTTTTTTAAAGGTTGAGAAATTATTGAGCTAAAGAAAAGACGTGAACATATATTGAGTACTCATTTCTGGACTAGACCCTCTTTGAGGCATTTTCACATACATAGATATTGTTTATCTCCATTTTATTAGTGGGAAAATAGATACCAAAAAGCTGAGTTTACCGAGTTTGTAAAAGGTGGCAGACCTGGGTCTGTCAAATTCCCCATCACATGTTCCATTACTGCTCAGCCCTCACCAAGGGCAGTAACCTACAATGGATATGTTATGATGGCAGCTAGAAAGGAGTCATATCCTGCTTGGACAGCGCACTCAGATTCGTGGCTTTGGCCCCCAAATCCCTATCCATAGAGCATTCAACAATTTAGTGAACCCCTTGGTTAAGGGAACAGCAGTCCACTCTAGTGTTGTTGCCTGGAGAATCCCATGGACAGAGAAGCCTGGCAGGGTACAGTCTATGGGGTTGCAAAGAGTCGGACACGACTGAGCGACTAACACACACAGTGAACCCCTACTGTGTGTGTGTAAGTTTTTGTGCAGACGCTAAACTGAGAAATGAATCAGTCCGTAGTCAGAAGGAAACACGGACACTGTCCTTGATTCATCCACAATTTTGACTGAACACCTGGTGTATCCTTGGTGCTGGGTTGACAGCAGTGAAGGGTGGAGAAATCACAGACTGCATGTGCTTAGTTGCTCAGTTGTGTCCGACTCTTTGCAGCCCCATGGACTGTAGCCTGCCAGGCTCTTCTGTCCTAAACTGGAGGCAGGAGGAAGCAGTACTATGTTAACTGTGTTGAAGGATGAATGAAGTGTGTCGAGAAGGCATGGAAGAGGGGAGGGCATTCCAGGCAGAGAGAATTGCACAAACAAAGGCAAAGAGGCTTGGAAATTCACAGCATATTTGGAGAGAGTAAATTGAACATTAGAAAGTTGAGGCCAATGTAAAACAGTAGTTAAAACCAGTGGCTTTGTTTTTTTTAATTTTTGGTTGTACCCTGCGGCATCTGGGACCCTAGTTCCCCAACCAGGAGTCAAACCCATGCCCCCTGCATTGGAAGGCAGAGTCCTAACCACAGGACTGCCGGGGAAGTCCCAAGACCACTGGCTTTGGATTCAGGTAGACTTAGATTCAAGACCTTGCTCTGCCACCTACTAGCTATGTGACTTTTACTTAACATCTCTAAGCCTTATAGCTTCCTGATTTGTGAAATGGGGCTAATAATTGTATCTACCTCACAGGTTGTTGCTTGGATTAAATAAAAGGGTACATGAAGTTACTGGTGTGGCTCCAGGCACACTGAGCATGCTCGGAACCCAGGCATTCGTGGCAGCCTGCCTTCCGGCTGGAGCATAACCTAGATGGGGAAGTGATAGAAAACCTGCTGGGAGCTAGATCAGAGGGGCCTTGCAGGCTTCACTCAGGAGAATGGGCTTGCATGGCAGCTTCAGTGGCTTGGAGGGTGGAAATAGAAGAGCTTGGTTCTCCTCTGTGGGTTGCTAGAGCACATCCCACTCTGCGCACTGGGTTCTGCATCTTAAGCTCCTTTCCCATTTGGAAGCCCAGCCTCAGAGCCCAGATATGAGTTTCAGGCTCCCCAGTGACCTCAGTCACTGTCCCAGTGTGTAGAATAGTGTCTGGCATGGAGCAGGCCCTGAAGAAACGTTTACTGAACACATACTGAAAGTATCAGCTGCCCCCTGTTCCTCGCTAGGTTCTGTAGCTCACTGTCTCATTTGACTTTCACTACAAGTGTCCTGCGGTGTGCATGGCTGCATGCTCAGTTGCTTCACTTGTGTCCACCTCATGCAACCCCATGGACTAGCCTGTCAGGCTCCTCTGTCCATGCGATTCTCCAGGCATGAATACTGGAGTGGGTTGCCATGCCCTCCTCCAGGGGATCTTCGTGGCCCAGCGGGGACTGAGCCTGCGTCTCTTAGGTCTCCTGCGTTGGCAGGCAGGTTTTGTGGTTTTTTACCACTAGCACCACTTGGGAAGCCCCTGCCGCGTGGTAGGTATTCCCATTTTGCAGGTGGGAAAACTGGCTCAGGAAGTCATTTTTCCCAAGGGCACACAGCTTGCAAAGCCTTTGCCCTCCTCCCACCCAGCTGTGGTACACTCTGAGTGTATATGGAGGTGCACAGCAAAAAGCTCAGCCCAAGAAGAGGGGCAGTAGGGGGTCTTTAGACCCTAAGCCTGGAATCAGCCAGCCTCTCTCTGCAGCTGGTCGTGGGAGACCTTGGCCCAGATGGGCGGCAGCCCCGCCTGAAGGTGCTTAAAGGAACAGTGCTGAGGGAAAGCCCGCTACCTGCCCTGCCAGCTGCTGCTGTCACGTTCCTCATGGAGTCACATGATCCCCAGACACCAGCAGTGGCAATCGCATCAGGCCCTTGTGTGTATATGTATAAGAATCTCAAGCCCTACTTCAAGTTCAGCCTGCCCCCATTGCCTGTAAACCCCCTGGAACAAGACCTTTGGAATCAGGCCAAAGAGGTAAGCGACCTGGGGGATGAGAGCAAGAAGGCAGAGGTGGCCACTGTGCGTGGGCCTCATTCCCTGCCTGGCTCTGGAGCTCACAGGCTCTACCTTCTTCCCGTGGTGGCACAGGACCGGATTGACCCCTTGACCCTGAAGGAGATGCTGGAAGGCATCAGGTGAGAGCCCACTTTCCCCTTCATGTACCTCCCTCACCCCCCAGTTCCTACTCCTTCATCCCAGAGCCCACCGTCTGACACCCCCTCCCCTACACTGGCCCTGTTCTCCTTACAGGGAGAAGGCAGAGGTGCCTTTGTCTGTACAGTCACTCAGGTAAGGGCCCTCTGGACGGCCAGGGCTCCAGAAGCTCCCAGGGAGGGCAGGGGGAGAAGCTGTGGATTGGCCTGTGGAGGGCAGGCAGGGCCTGGGTGCACAGATGTCCCCACTCTGTGTGTCCAGGTTTCTGCAGGTGGAGCTGAGTGAGATGGAGGCGTTTGTGAACCAGCACAAGTCCAAGTCCATCAGGCGGCAGGTACTGCCCCTTCTCATTTCCCTGTAAGATATACAGTTTTTTTTTTAAACAGACCACGTAACATTAGTGGTAAAGCCAAACCTGACTAGTTTTATTTTGCAGTTTCCCTTCCAGCCTGTGCCACCTGTGTAGTCTGCAGGGCTTCTCCATTTCGCTTAGCAGTGACAGCTTTGAGTTGATAGATACAGTTATGTAACTTATATAACTTTTATCATCTTGGGGGTAAAGGTAAAATATGTTCATTAGGGAAAATTTTGAAAATAGAAGTACAAAGGAGAAATACAAGTGACTATACTCTTACTACTCAGAGTACTCTTACCATTTTGATAACATTTCGTTCATAAATATGCTTTTATATCCTGCTTTCCTTGAGCACGTAACATTGTATCTTGAGCATTAGTCTTGAAGAACTCCATTTTTAGTGGCCCCTTGATTATTTCATTGATGATTCATTATTCATTCATAATTTAATTATTCGGTGCAGATCATTGGTCAAGAAGTGTCTTCTTTTTATTCACTTAGTATTTTTCTTAGTTAGGATTTTAATGGCCTTATTGATAGACCTACTTATTGATGAGCTCTAGTGGTTCCTGACCTTGGGGGCTGAGCCTCTTCCAGGGATGGGCTTTCAGAGCTGTCCCTGCATTTTAGAAAGCCACATAGGAACCACCCATTTGCTATAGAGGCCACTTGAGCCGAATACATTGACCAACACATACCTCTGTGTTTGGCTTGCCGTAGATAATTCCCTGAGAAACATTGTTCTCTCCTGCTGATCAGCAGCTCAGATCCACAATCGTCACTATCTCTGAGTACATTTAAAATCAGGGAGTGAGTTAAGTATTGCTTAAAAGATGCAGCGTGGGGGAGGCCATCTTTCCAGCTATGCATCGCAGCTCCATGGTTGGAAGCCACTAGCATCCACATTTCTGTAACTTTTCTCCTTCCACTAGGCATTGAGGATTCATCTTTTTTTAATCTTAAAGATAGTCAACTCAGTGAACAGCTTTATCCAGAGAAACATTTTAGTCCCATTAAATTATTTCCATAGGAGAAAAAAGGGGATCATCTCCTTCTCTTTTCATTTTCTTTCCAATCACAATTAGAAGAACATATGCCCACTGTAGAAACTGCAGAAGAGCACAATGAATAAATTAAACCTTGCCTGTGATGTCATTGTCCAGAGATAACCAGTGTTTGTATTTACAGGTTTAGCTTTCCAAGATTTTTTTTATTCATACGTATATTTTTTTAACTGAGATAATACTAATGTAACTTTTAACCTGTATTTTCTCTTAATACATTAGAAACATTCTCTCTGTCATTGAATCTTCTTTTAAAATCTGATTTTGGCAAATGACCGTGTGGGTTTTGATCATATAGATAGTTAATAATTGACTTAAAGAATCCTCTTTTGTTAGGAAATTAGGTTTGTTGCAATCAACACTTTTGTAGGTAAACCTGTCACATCTCTAATACTCTTCTTCCTCCTTTGCCCTCTGTCTTTCTGGGGCGTCCTGGGAGTAGCTGGGGTGGGAGATGGTGTGAGGGGATCTCCCGGGTGACCCTGGAGTCCTTCTGCAGACAGTCATCACCACCATGACCACCTTAAAGAAGAACCTGGCTGACGAGGATGCTGTGTCCTGCCTGGTGCTGGGCACTGAGAGCAAGGAGCTCCTGGTACTAGACCCGAAGGCCTTCACCATTCTGGCCAAGGTCAGTGTGGGGCCTGGCCCTGGGCACACCGAGGCACAGGCTCCACTCCCTCCTCCTGCTCCCCCAAATCTCCTGCCCCAGTTAGTTAGTCTTGGGATACCTGTTTATTGTAGAAAGTTATAAAATGTAGATAGGCATAAAGAAGACAGATATCCCCAAATCCTACCACTCATGCATATCTTCTGTTAAAGTTTTGGCACAAGTCTTTGTAGACATTTTCATACTCAGACACGGGTATATAACTTTCAATTTTTTTTTTTTTTTAAAACAAAACAGCCCCATGCTGTAGGATCCTGTAACCTGCTGTTTTCAAGCAGCAGTAGCTCATCAGTATCTTTCCATGTCCATATAAAAGCATGTCAGCCTTTTCAGAGGCCGCATAACATTGGTTATATAAATATTCTGTAATTTCTTTACCCTGTCGCCAATTGTATGTTTAAGTTGTTTTCAGTTTCTTGCTGTTACTAACCACCACCACAGTAGGCTTCCTTGCCACGTATCTTTGTGTGCTTATCTAAATACCTCCTTACACGCATTCCTAGAAATGGCATAGTTTAGTCAAAGGGTGTAGACTTAAAGGCTTTCGCTACCTGTTCCCCTCCAGAGAAACTGTTTAAGTTTTAAACTGTGCCCAGGAGGGTGTGAGTGAGGCGATGGGGACTTAGGTGACATCAGGTTAGGGAGGGGGTGGGGCTCCAGAGAAACCGGGGTGTTTGAGTCTCTCTGCAGATGAGCCTCCCCAGCGTCCCTGTCTTCCTGGAGGTTTCTGGCCAGTTTGAGGTGGAGTTTCGTCTTGCCGCTGCCTGCCGCAACGGGAGCGTCTATATGCTGAGAAGGTAGCCACATCCGAGCTCTCTAGGGTCAGAAGGAACATCTCAGAAACCTGGTGGTTTTGAGGGCTTACAAGATGAGCAGGGCTTTGGAGTGAGAACGTGGGACTGGAAAGAGCCCAGAGCTTCATAGGAGGCAGAGCCCTTGAGCACAAGGGATGGCTGGAGGATTGTCCAGTGCGGCCTGGCAAAGTGAGAGACTAGGCTGGGTGGCTGTGACACTAGCAGTGCAATCAGATATTAGATAAAAATGGTCTCTCCTATTTGTTCTATTGCTTTTATAGGTACGGGAAATTTCCTCATGCATTAGTTTGATGTTTCTTAACTGTCATTCTTTTAATTCAAGAAATCTTTTTGAGTACCTGCTATAAATTAAGCATTGCATGAGGTATTGGGGATATATTGATGAACAAAATATGTAGTCCCTACCCTTGTGGGAAGACATATTAAGACCAAGATTATATTACAAATTGGATACATGCTATGGAGGAAAAGTACTGGCTCAGTGAGGAAAAAAAGGGGGTCAGGGTGATCAGTGAATGCCTGTATGAAGAGATTACTTGACAGTTAAGAAGGATCCAGTTCAAAAAAGTGGAGCAAGTGTTATAGGCAGAGAGCATGTAAGTGAACTCAGTGGGAAAGACATCGGCATGTGCCACTTGAGCTTGGTGGCAAGAGATGACCTGGAGATCAGGTCAACTCATGCAGGACCTGGTAGGACATGGTGAAGATTTTGGGTTTCATCTGAAGGGCAATAGAAAACCATTATGGGTTTTGACTCAGAACATATGATGAATGACATGATCCATGTTCATTTTGGAGGGTAGATTGGGATTAGGCCCAGAGACCAATGGGAACATCTTCAGATGAGTCATCAGATGGGAGATGTCTCTGGCTTAGACTTAAGAAAGGTGGGCCAGAGTTTCTAGATAAGAGAAATAAAGATTTAGATGTCAGGAAACTGAAAACACTGCATCCACACAGAGCAAACTCCTCCTGATTTTCTGATAAATTACTAAACTATTATACTAAATGGAATCTCAGTCCATTACTTCGTCTCATCTGATGTACACTCGATGTAGACTGGTAAACACCAAGTTATCCCACAGATCACTGTAGTGAAGTTGTGAGGAAGACCAGGAGGGAAAACACACATTGTGTTATCCAAGGTCATGCAACTACGAAGTCCTAGAGGTGGAACTAGTTCCTGGGTCCTCTGCTTGTGGGCCAAGGCTGCTCCCAGGATCATCTGTGGGGCCTGGAAAGAGGAGGGCCAGCCAGGGAAGGAGAGAAGGTTTCTGGACTGGGAGTGAGCGAGCGAGTGAGCGTTAGTTGCTCAGTTGCTCTGCGATCCCATGGACTGTAGTCCTCCAGGCAAGAATACTGGAGTGGGCTGCAGTGCCCTCCTCCTGGGATCTTCCCACCCCAGGGATAGAACCTGGGTCTCCTGCATTGCAAGCAGGTTTCTTAACACGTGAGCCACCAGGGAAGCTCTGGGCTGTGTGTCTTCATTCCACAGAGACTCCAAGCGCCCCAAGTACTGCATCGAGCTGAGCGCCCAGCCTGTGGGGCTTGTCCTTGTGCACAAAGTCCTGGTGGTGGGCAGCAACCAAGACAGCCTGCACGGCTTCACCCACAAGGTGTGATCTCACGGCAAGCACCCCCAAGCCCCTCCACCCTTGTCTCCTCGGGCCCCCTCAGCAGGCGAGCCCTTCTGGCGTTCCCTTCCCCACAACTCCAGCCACCCACTTCTTTCCACTCCTCAGCGCTGAGCCCCCAGTAGACACTTAGCTGTTCCCTCCCAGGGTAAGAAGCTGTGGACAGTGCAGATGCCTGCAGCCATCCTGGCCATGAACCTCCTGGAGCAGCACTCCCGGGGCCTGCAGGCCGTCATGGCCGGGCTGGCCAATAGAGAGGTCCGCATTTACCAGGACAAGGCCCTGCTCAACATCATCCACACGCCGGTGAGCTGCTGACTCCTCCCTGCCCCGCTCCCACCTTTGGGGCTCACTCACTGCCTCTCCTGATCCCACTCCACCTGCCACCCTTAACTTTTGATGTATTTTGAAAATGTTCATTGAGTATTTCATCTGCACAACTCACTGTATTGGAAGGATAAAACAATGACCAAATCCTTATTGTCAAGGGACTTGCAGTCTAAGGTGCAAGCCAGCCAGAAACACAGCTGATTCAAATACAAGACAGCCTAAAGCAAAACAAAGCCCAGAAAAAGCGCAGAGACAGACTATAGTGACTGGGGGTGGTAATGAGAGATACATAGGGATGGAACTCAGGAGCGATTTCACAGAGCAGATACAATTCAGCTGGTCCTCGAAGCAGTTTGCTCTGAGAAATGGAGTAGATAAATGAAGGTGCAATATTCCAGACTGGAAATAACATGAACAACGGCTGAGAGGTATGAGTGTTCTTGACAAAGGAATCCAGGTAGTTTGATGAATTTGGACCAGAGTTTTTCAAACAAAGTTTTGAGTCATCACATCAATTTGATGAGCCAGTAACAGAACCAGAAAAAAGTTCAGAGTGTATCACGTGTGAAACTTTTGTGTGTATGTATGTGTAAAGTGTCATACGTCACAATATAATATTTGAAAGCAGCTGGTTTAGACCACAGGCTTTCTGGAGGGCAGGCGGTATGGTGTGCAGGTTGGGAAAAGGACAAAGAGAAAAGGTAGGTTGGAGTCAAATATGGAAGGCCTTGAATGTGTGAACAAGGAGAGCAAAAACCATTGGAGGTTTTTCAGCCAAGAATAGACACGGTCATATTTGTATTTTGAAAGGCAACAGAAGCAGCTGTTTGAAGGACAGACTGGGGAAAAAGACGGCTGGGAGACCTGTTAGAAAGCTGAACCCAAAGGCCAGTGATGTCCAATCTGGAACTATGGCCATGACAGTGAGCAGGGAGTGGAGTGAAGGGAGGTTAGAAATACAGGAAATATTTCAGAGGCAGCATAGCCCCTGGCCTCACCTCACATTTCACCTTTTACATCATATGTGGAGTCTCCCAGCCTTACCCCCCGTCTTCCCAGCCCTGTTCTCTTCACTGAGATCTTTTCCCAGCTAAACTCTGGTGTCTCTACCATAGGAGGCAGTGACCAGCCTTTGCTTTGGCCGCTTTGGACGGGAAGATAACACCCTCATCATGACTACACAAGGCAAGGAGGGTCAGGCCTCGTGAGGGTTTTAGAGTTGGGAGTCCGTGGGACAAGACCCTGGGAAGAAGAGGAGGTGGATGTGGAACATGGTGGGCCTGGGTTTGGGAAGCAGGGTCTGCAGACACTGTCCTCTCTGGGGCTGGGCCTTGGCTGGGGACAGCTCATCAGCAGGTTGATGTCACTGCCTGGGGCCAGGCCCTGGCTTTGTCTCCCGTTCACCCCAGTGTCTGCCACAGGAACATCAAAATGGTCAGTAAATAATACCTGCTAGGAGCTCTCTTGGTGGTCTAGTGGTTAGAACTCCCTGCTTCCACTCAGGTGACTCAGGTTTGATCCCTGGTCAGGGAACTAAGATCCTGCAAGCCAAGTAACTTGCCCAGACAAATAAATAACTGCTAAATGAATGAATGCATTACTTATAGGACACACTTCATTCCTTTCAGAGACCTACAGTCTCAGCAAGGAGACAGAAGAGGGTCAACATGAGGCAGATTGGGGAAAAAGAATGGGACTGTTGGGTGGGCCTGGGGAGGACACATCTGCCATCTGTCCTCTTCCCTTAGGCGGTGGCCTGATCATGAAGATCCTCAAGCGCACAGCAGTGTTTGCGGAGGGGGGAGGTGAGGCGGACCCCCTACTAAGCCAGCCCGTGAAACTCAACGTGCCCCGGAAGACCCGGATCTATGTGGACCAGACGCTGCGAGAGCGGGAAGCCGGCACCGGTGAGGCTCAGGCCGAGTCCCTCCTCCTCCTCCTCCATTCCCCCAAAGTGGCAGCAACTGGGTGAACGCCACCTGGGTGCCCTGAGCAGCGGGAGGAGACCTGGGCGGGCCGGGCGGGTCTCACGCCTCTGGAGGCCCAGAGACAGCCTCGGAAGTATACCCTGCCAACAAGGAATTGGAGCTCAAGGCAGACAGTGCTTCGGCTGCCCCTCGAGTTCAGAGGAGGGAGCAGCCAGTTCTAGGTGCAGGAATTCTCAGTAGAATTTGATCAAGGTTCTTCCTCTTCCTGTGTAACTTGTCATGCTCTTTTGTTCATTCAGTACCTGTGATTATGCCAGGCCCTGTGCCAAGTGCCTTGGATCAGGCCAGTCCCTACCTAAAGAGCTCAGTAGACCTTGCTAACATCACATTGCATGATAGGTGCGGAAGTCTCTGCGGAGTGCTTTTGAGGCGCGCAAGAAAGTGCGTTTGCCTGGGAGCCTGGCAAAGGCTTTAGAGAGAGGTGACATTGTATTTGACTCTTAAAAGATGATTACAAGTCCACCAGCCAGACAGGGACAGGGAAGGGCGATTTCGGCAGAGGCCTGGGTAAAGGCACAGGGTCCTGCCTGGGTTCAGCCAGGCGCCAACAAAGGAGGCCGAGACTGCGCCGGCGGCCAGGAGGTGGGAGAAGCCGGGCGGAGGGGCAGGGAGTGGTCCACAGCGTCCAGAGGCTGGCGGTGGGACCTCGGGCCCCTGTTGCACGCTCCCAGCCTCTGCCCCCCGTGCCTTCCTCTCACCCTCTCCCCACGGCGGCCGGGACGGGCGCCTCCTCCCGCCCTGCCCCCCTCCCTCCTCACCATCAGCCCCTCGTGTCCCTCCCCTCAGCCATGCACCGGACCTTCCAGGCGGACCTCTACCTGCTGCGCCTCCGGGCGGCCCGTGCCTACGTGCAGGCCCTTGAGTCCAGCCTGAGCCCCGTGTCTGTGACGGCCCAGGAGCCGCTCAAGCTGCACGCCGTGGTGAGCTCTCGGGGTAGGGGGGTGCTCAGGCCACCTCAGAGCCAGAGGGGCAGAGGTCAGGGGTGGGCAGGAACCTCTCAGGCCAGAGCCGGTTCCAAGGCAACTAGGCCCCATGCCCCTTGTCACCTGCCCACAGACTCAGGGACCAAGACCTCCTCGTGGGCGCTCTCGCCTTCTCTCACCTGCACTGCCTCTTCCCCTCAGCTGGCCGCAGAGCAGGGCACGCTCTCCAGCCGCCTCATTCCACGTGGGGCCTCAGACAAGCCTCCACACGTGGGGCCCGGCCCCCAGGTCGTCACCTTGGGACGTTTCTTCCCAGGAGCCTGTTCACTTCAGTAACTGCCGGCAGCCCGAGGGGGTCGGACTGCCCGGGGCAGGGATGGGGCCGTCCCGGGACTACACAGGCACAAGGAGGATGGGGAGCCCTTAGACACCCTGACCTCAGGTCCTCAGGCCTCCAACCAGCTCTCAGTGGCTCCCTGAGGTGTGTGGTCTGATCCAGTTGGGGTTGTAGTCTCTCTTTCCCTGAAGACAGCGGAGAGATCCAGAGCGGAAGAGGCTACAGAGCGCAGGGGGTGAGAGGGAGAAAGTGAAACCACCGCAGCCGGCAGAGGACGAGTGGTGGAGGCGGGCTGGACCCTGAGGAGAGGGGCAGGGCCGTGGGCCGGCGCAGGCGGGAGCCAGGCCTGCTCGCCCAGGTCAGCTCTGCCTCCCACCCACCTTCTCCTTCCAGGGCCGCTGCTCAACTCCGTACCCACGGAGCCAAGCTTCTGAGCTCTGGGCCTACTAATGGACAATGCGTCAGAGCAGTTGGAGGAGGGTGACTTGATGCTGATGAGGAAGCAGGCGGGCAGGGCCGGGGTCAACCATCCTCAGCACCCAAGCCCACTAGGTCCTAAGGGCTTTCTCCCCTCCCCACCCTCTCCACAGGTTCAGGGCCTGGGCCCCACCTTCAAGCTCACCCTTCACCTGCAGAACACGTCAACAGCCCGCCCCATCCTGGGGCTGGTGGTCTGCTTCCTGTACAACGAGGTGCTCTATGCTCTGCCCCGGGCCTTCTTCAAGGTACCGGCGTGATAAAGGGTGGGGTGGGGCCTGATTGGATGCCCACAGGTCAGAGGTGAGGGGGCTGGCAAGTGGCTGCAGCTACAGGGCTGACTAGGGCGCAGCAGGGTCCCTGAGGAGAGCCCTGAGATTGCCTGCCCCAGCTGCTTTTCTCCCTGCCTGCGCGAGGTCTGAGGGCGGCACACGGAAGGTGCCGGGACAGCAGTGAGAGTCCAGGGCCCACCTGTGCCTCTTTCGGAAGCCTGCTCGTGCTGGGGGGTCCCCCAGCCCACCCTGCTGTCCAGCCCCTCCTGCAGCAGGAATGGGAACCCCATGGAGAACCTTCCAGAGTGAAGGGCCTGGTGTTCCCCAGGTCTACATTTAAGCCTTAGTTGGAAGGACCAGAAACTGAGAAGGACTTTGGTATGTGGGAGAAACAGCCCTGGACTTGGTCGGAGGTCAAGAGGTTTAGGGACTAGCCTGGCAGTCCAGTGATTGAGACTCCACACTCCCCTGCAGGGTTTGATCCCTGGCCAGGGAACCAAGATCCAGCGTGCTATGCGGCACAGCTAAAAAAAAAGTTTACCTTTAATTATGGACACGCACACAGGCCTGGGGCATTCACTCCCCATGGAGCCCTGTGCCCCTTGAACGGGCCTGTCCCCCCTGCCCGCCCCGCCAGGCTATGACATTCAGCTGGGACAGCAGGGTGACAGCGCTTTGAAATCTACCAGACACTGGCTGGGCATGAGGGCTGACTTCCTGACCTCTTTGTCCCCAAACTTAGGTCCCATTGCTGGTGCCAGGGCTCAACTACCCCCTGGAGACCTTTGTGAAGAGTCTTAGTGACAAGGGCATCTCAGACATCATCAAGGTAGGTCGCCAGTTGGTACTAGTGCAGGGGGGAGTGCGAGTGAGTGTGGACAAGGCCCTGGGTGGCTGCCAAGAAGGACTGGGTATCTGCACAGCAGAGGCTCCCCCTCCCCTTGGACCGAGCCCTGCCCTAGGGTCGGTACAGACTAGGCCGTGCTGGCCTTCTTGGGGAGCAGCGGGGGAAGGCAGAATGCCCCCTACTACCATGATCACCTTCTCCACAGGTGCTGGTGCTTCGAGAAGGCCAGAGCACACCCCTGCTGAGTGCCCACATCAACATGCCCATGAGTGAGGGCCTGGCAGCTGCCTGACCCCATGCTGGGGTTAAAGCCCCAGTGGAACCAGAACCAGGAGGATCCAGCCCCCTCCACTGCGCCGGGCAGAGTCCATAGTCCCAGGTTCGCTCCCGTGCGGCCCCACGCAGGCCGCCGCCTCCCTCCCCTCTCCTGGCGCCCCTCCCTCACTACCCCGACCACTGGGTGACCCGCAGCACAGGTCAGTGAGCGCCTTCCTCCTCAGGAAAACCCAGGCGCTGACCCTGTGGGCTCCTGCCACTCTGCTCTTGTCCCCACTTTCCCCCAGAAAGCACCCCCAGGTCCAAAGGAAAAGTTCTGCAGCAGCTACGCTGAGATGAGGGCATAGGCCCCGCCTTCTTCTCTGCCGCTCTCCTTGGGCATGCCTCTTTGCTGCTGCTGCAGAGTTGGCGGGGGCCTGGCCCCAGATAGTCAGAGGCTTTTCTCGGGTGAGACTGAGCCCCCTGTTGCTCCCTGGGGTGCCAGAGGCTTGGCTGTTGCCAGCTCAGCTTACAGGCAAAGCACATGCTCTAATCTCCCTCTCTTTCTATTCAGGGGCCCCAGGAATAGTTGCCTTCCCACAGGGGCCCCTTCTGAAGTCTTGGGCTTAGCCAAGGTCTCAGGCCTGTGATGCTCCATAAAGATCGCCAAGGAAGAGGCTGGCATAGGAGGGCAGAGAGTGCCTGGGCAGGGAGCTAGGGGCCCCAGGAGAGGAAGACTCAGCTAGATAGAGGAAAGGTGGGGTCAGGGCACATAGGAGGGGCATCTCTGGGGTCCTGGGGAGGGGGCTTGGGAGGCAGAAGCCTAGAACTGCCAAACAAAATGCTGTTCTAAGCCCTGGAGCCCAGGTCAGTCAGGTGAGTGGCAAGTCACTGGGCAGTGGCCATAGTGTGTGAGATTTGCTAGAAAAGCATAGGCCTTAGGTGTCGAGTCAGGGATTGAACGAAGGTGCGTGTTAAGGTCTTAGGGGTCAGAGACGCACAGTCTGGGCCCATGGTGCCTCCTAGAGCCCCCTAGCCAGTCTGCTTGGCTCCCCTGCCGGTTGTCTCTTGGGTGAGTGCTCCCCACGGCTGCCCTGCGCCATTGTAAGCCAGGAATCCTGTCCACTGAGGAAGGACCTATGTCTTCTGACCAGGTACAGCCTAGCATGTGGCAGACAGCTTAGGCTTGTGGGAAGTAACCAAGTTTCTGTGTGTTTCCATTTCCCCAAGTTTAAAAGGAGGCGGTTTGACTAGATTCTGCTCTAATATCCTAGAGTTTGGCAGCCCCTATAAAGAAACCAGGAGTCAACTCCAGAAAGAGGGTACTTGGCAGGAGTAAGCACAGAACTTTTGCTCTTGAGACCAAGGACCCCACATTGATTGATTCTGCTGGACAACAGCCTCCGTGCTGGAGATGGTGAGGGACAGGCCACAGCCACACTCTCTGCAGGGAATGCATTTGGGGCGAGGTTAAGAGAATTAAGGGGTCTGGACCAAAGAAAGAACCCATCCCCCTCCTGTCTGCATGATCTTTCCACTCGCAAACATAGAGCAGTTAGGTCGGGGTGGTCTGGGGTTCCTCGATAAAGCTGACTGAGGCTCAGGGGGAATGAGGGGGAAGTTCAGTATGGAAATGGAAAGACAGATAGAGGGGGCATCGCTGTCAGACTTGAACCAAACCTGAAGCATTTTCCAAGAGGGCTTATCAGCGATGGGAGGCCCTGCCTTTGTCACTGGAGCTGTGTCGCTGTGGCGAGGCCAGATGACCTTACAGCCCCTTTCACCCCCATGAAGTGAGCTGTGTGAACTCAGAACGAAGTCTCACCTGGCTTCTCCTCGTAGTTATCCATGATGATGAAAGTGGAGAAACGACCCCGAGGCCCAACCCCTAATATGAATTTACATGATGTGATACTATCTTGTTGTTCAGTCACTCGGTTGTGTCCGACTCTGCAACCCCATGGACTGCAACACGTCAGGCTTCCCTGTTCACCATCTCCCAGAGCTTGCTCAAACTCGGGTCCATTGAATCGGTGATGCCATCCAACCATCTCATCCTCTGTCATCCTTTTCTCCTCCTGCCTTCAGTCTTTCCCAGCATCAGGGTCTTTTCCAATGAGTCAGTTCTTTGCATCAGGTGGCCAAAGTATTGGAGCCTCAGCTTCAGCATCAGTCCTTCCAGTGAATATTCAGGATTGATTTCCTTAGGATTGACTGGTTTGATCTCCTTGCTGTCCAAGGGACTCTCAAGAGTATTCTCCAACACCATAGTTCAAAAGCATCAATTCTTCGCCGCTCAGCCTTCTTTATGGTCCAACTCTCACATCCATACATGACTACTGGAAAAACCATAGCTTTGACTAGACGGACCTGTTACTTAAAAACACATGAACTGCCCAGCAGTAAATAAAGCAGTACGAAGTAGGAAGCAGTGCATGATGCCCAGTGCCCTCACTAGCTAGAGCTCTAAGAAACTACATTAAGGATGAGGAGAGTGGTGCCTTTTTTTAATGTCACAAAACATGTACCTACTTAGTACTCTATTTGTATTAGTTCCTTAGTCATGTCTCACTCTTTGCAACCCCATGGACTGTTGTCTGCCAGGTTCCTCTGTCCATGGAATTCTCCAGGCAAGAATACTGGAGTGGGTTGCTATTTCCTCCTCCAGAGAACCTTCCTGATGCAGGGATCGAACCTGGGTCTCGTGCACTGCAGGCAGATTTTTTACTGTCTGAGCAAGCAGAGAAGCCCCACTTAGTACTATGGAATCAGGCAATTTGTAACAAGGAAACAGCCTCTTCCCATTCCTCAGTACTGTGCCACTGCTACAATCATTTCCGGCTCTGTTAGCTTTTCTATAAATATGCTTATACAATATTTGTTGGCTACCTGTCATAACAGAAGAGGCTTTAGCTCTCTTGTGGCAGCACCCTGCCCTCTCCTTTTCTCCCCAGTTAGGTAAATCCATATTCACTATTTATATTACTACATGACTCTCCACTGCAGAGCCAAGAATGGGGCTGTAACTAAATGACCTTTTTGTGTATGTGTTTATTTTTCATGGAGTTCATAGTTGCCCTGCTTTTTTCTCCTTTGCTGAGCTTTCTGTGTATACCAGTTGATGGTTCTTCTCCCACCGGGTCTGACAGGTCCTCTGGGTGTGTCCCTCCATCCCCTGCTTAAGGGAGTGCCGTTTGTTTGCTAGAACTGCAGCAGGCACTTTTCCTGGGAATTCTGTTTACCATGTTCTGGGCCAGATTCCTTAATTCCTGGACCCTGTGTCCTTTTTCATAGTTCTTTTACCCCTCACCTGGTGAAGCACATCCACAGGTACCTTCTCTAAAAAGTCACTAGAGTTGGGCTTTCCTGGTGGCTCAGTGGTAAAAGAATCAGCCTGCAATTCAGGAGACCTGGGTTTGACTGCTGATCTGGGAGAATCCCACATGCCACGGAGCAACTAAGCCCATGCACAACTACTGAACCTGTGTGCTCTAGAGCCTGAACCGCAGCCGATGAATCCCGCACGCCCTAGAGCCTGTGTTCCACAAGAGAAGCCAGCGCAATGAGAAGCCTGCGCACTGCAACACGAGAGTAGCCCCTGCTCGCTCTAACTAGGGAAATGCCACGCAGCAATAAAGACCCAGCACAGCCAAAAAATAAATTATTTTTAAAAGAATCTTAAAACTCACTGGAGTTAGAAATTTTAAGACACCATTTTTCTGAAGATTTTATTCACTTCATACATGTATGTGATAGTTTGGGTCGAAAATTGGAAGGTGAAAGTCATTTTTATGTAAGGAAATCATTTTTAAGGTAGTGCTCCCTTGTATTCTGATTTTTCGTAATGCTGTTGAGACGCTCCATGCCATTTTTGCTTCTGACTTTCTCTGAGGTTCTGAAACATCTGACACATTACCATGTGTCATTAGTTGTTATGCTGCAGGGTGGAGGTTTGCATCCTTCAATTCCAGAAAATTGTTTCTTGAGTGATTTCTTCCCATTTTCTCTGTTCTCTCTGGAATTCTGATGAAGCCCACCATCTGATAAATAATAATTTCAGAGAGAACAGAACTGAATCCTCTGATTTTCTTCTGTCTTCTCTTGTATTATCTTTTGGCTCTATTTTCTGAGAGATTTTTACCTTTCAACTCTTTTCTGGAACTATTTTGTTTTGTTTTTTTCTGGAACTGTTTTTAAAATTCTATTTTATTTTTTGGCTGCACCACATGGCATGTAGATCTCAGTTCCCCAGCTAGGGATCGAACCTGCACCCTCTTTAGTGGAAGCACAGAGTCTTAACTGCTGGACCACTAGGGAATTCCCTAAAATTTTGTTATTTTAATTCTCAGCTCTTTTTGTTCTCTGTTCAGTCTTTAATTAAGTTACCTTTTCAAGGACATAGTTGAGTTCAGCACCATCAATCAACTGGATTTAATTGACATCTACAGACTACTTCAACAACACCAATATACACATTTTTTTGGAGCTCACATAGAACATTCACCAAGACAGATCATATTCTGTACCATAAAAAACACTTTAACAGATTTAATAGAAATCATGAAGTGTCTCCTCTCACACCAAAATGTAAATCAGCAACAGAAAAATAATTGGAAACTTTCAAAATACTTGGAGATTAAAGAGTAGTCTTGTAAATAATACATGGATCAAAGAAGAAATCTCAAATTTTAAAATATTTTGAACTAAATTAAAATGAAAACAACTTATCAAAATTTGTGGGTGCAGTGAAAGCATTGCCTAGAAGGAAGTTTGTAGCACTGAATGGATATATTACAAAAGAAAAAAGACATAAAATCAATAATCTACATTTTCACCATGGGAAACTAGGAAAAGAAGAGCAAAAGTAAATCCAAAATAAAAGAAAAAGCAGAAATCAATGAGATCAAAAATAGGAAATCAACAGAGAAAAATCAATGAAAACCAAAAGCTGGTTCTTTGAAATCTTAATAGAATCAACAAGAGAAACTGCCTATTTCCAAGTCTAGTACTGGGTAGAAGAGGGGGGAAAAAAATCTCTCCTGATAATTTTTAACCACATGCCTGCCTGAATAAGTGTGCAACCTGAATTGACAGTACCTGAGTGATCCAAAACACCCCTAGCTGAGAATTTAAAGTGCCGGGTTGGTTTGTCATCAGGCAACTGATAAACATTATTTCCTCTGTGGAGGAATTTACTTTTAACTCAATCTTAAAAAATCCCTATTGATAAAATTCTAAAAAGTATGAATTCACAGTCAAAACTCATGAATTGCAAGAAAATATGGCATTGTGAGCAAGAGCAAATGATAAACCTGCATAATCGGGCCTCAAAAACTTAAGGTACTGGAATTACCAAATAATATATAATATGTGTTTTCAATATATTTAAAGAAAAAGGAAACTTAAAATGTAAAACAGCAAGAGTATATAAAATAAGCAAGTCTGAAAAGGAACGAAACAATTTCTAGAAATGATAAAACATTTGACATGTAAAACTCAACAGATAAGTGGGTACAACCACTAAAAACAGAAACAAAAAAAACTTTTAATAGGTTGGTTTAGCAGCTGAAGAAAGACTTACCTGGGAGATAGATGTGTAGAAATTATCCAGAATCCCAGAAACAGAGAAAATATGAGCTATATAAGAGACAAAGAGGATGGAGTAGGAAGGTCTAATCAGAGTTCCAGTGGGGACAGAGAAAGATGACTGAGAATTGAAGATAAGACAATTTTCTAGAACAGATGAAAGACATCAATTCATAGAATCAGGAAGCCTCAGGAATCCCATTAAGATAAGTACAAAGAAAACCACACTGGGACACATCACAGTAAAGCTGCAGAATACCAAAGGTAGATAAACCTTTAAAACGGTTGGAGACAAAAAGTATCTTCAAAGGAACAGTAAAGACAACAGCAACAAAGTGGAGACCATAAAGACAGAAGTTTTCAATATATTGACAGGAAATAACTATTAGCCTGGAATTCTACATCCAGCAAAAAATAACTTTAAATAAAAAATTAAAAAACTAGAAAAGACAGGTGATGGCACAAAATAAAGGGGTAGAAATTTATCCAATAACTTAATTAAAATATAAAAAGTGACTACAAATAGAAAACATTTAAAAATCCATATTCAGGCCATTCTTAGGAGGCAGAGAATGAAAGTAAAAGGATAAAAACTCAGCATATTTGGAATAGAAGGGAAATTTCTCAGCCTAATAAAAGACTTTTTTTTTCTTTTTTTTACAAAAACCAGCAAATATATTTTATGGTGAAATATTGAAATTATTCCCTGTAATGTCAGAAACAAGTCAAGGGTGCCCACACTTTCCTCCACCCATACAGAGAGGCAAGAAAAATAAAAGATATAAAAAGTAAAATGGAAGACTTTTTTTAATTATAGAGATGATAATACATACAGAAAACTCAGAATTTTCAAGTAAATCATAAATTTTAGGTTTCTTGGACATAAAAAATTATTTTCATAAGCCATGAATAGCAGCAGCACAATATCAAGTACTTAAGTTTAACTAATTTATCAGAAAAAGTAACTATTGAAAACATAATGAAGAGATACACCATGTTCACGACTGGAAACTTCAATCTCATGTTGATGTTGATTTTCCCCAAACTGATAATATAGATTCAGTTGGGTTCAATCACAGTTTCAAAGGGGTTTTTATTGATAGAACGTAACAAGCTGATTCTAAAATGTATATGGAAGAGCAAGGGTCAAGTATAGATCTTAGGGGAACACACACAGGTAGATAAAATGATCAGTGGGACAAAAGAGAAAAATAAATTGTATATTCGGTGGATTACTATACAGCAAGCAAAAGGAATGCCTTACAGCTACACATATTAATTTGGGTAAATCTCAGAAACATGGTATTAAAAGAAAAAGCAAATTGCAGTAAAGTAAACATGGTGTAGCTTCATTTATATAAAAGTCAGAAACATGCAAAACATCTATAATAAATCACAGAGCAAGCAAGGGAATGATTCAGACAGCAGTGTTTCCTCTACCAGGGAGAGGTACAGCAGGGACTAGAAAGGAAAGGGTATCCACCTGCACTGGAAGCGCGGAGTCTTAACCGCTGGACTGCCAGGGAAGTCTAGGTATCCATTTCTGAAGTGGGGGTGGGGAGGGTGTTCTTTAAATATTTCCTTGCATCTCTTCACTGTTTAATTCAAAACCAAACAAAACAAGAAAAGATTCTAGAGGATGGGGGTAAAGCAGAGAAGGAAACGGGAAGTCTGCCAGAGCTTATGTACAAAGAGACAGCTACAGCAAGTTCCTAATATACAGTTAAGTAGTAATAGTGCATGCTGTTTAAAAAAGCAAAGTCCTAGCAGCTCAAACCTTCACGGGCATGGGCAGAGCCTTGGGCTTCTCTGAGGGTTCTTGGAAGGCAACCTGCCATGTCATTGGAGGGCTACCCCCTGCCTCAGCAGCATTTGTAGATTTTAACTCAACCCCACTTTTGGTCCAGCCCCTCACCCCCACCCTCCCCAGTTCCCCCAAGACACAAAAGCCCACACCTCCACCGCAGTGGGGTAGCTGCTTGGCTGCAAGGGGTCAGGTGGGTCCTGGGGGGAGGGACAGTCTAGCTGCTCCTCACAGAGACCTTAAATCAGTCCCTCTTGTCAGCCCCAAACCTCGCCTTCCATGGTGCTGGTGGAACTCCAGAGCTTCTGCACGGCTTGGGGTCAGGGGTTGGGGGTTTGGTGGCCTCTTGGCCCCTCCTTCGCGGAACACTTAATTGCAGCGTCTGGTTCTCTAGGAGAGTAAATGAGCCTCTATCCATTTTTCATCTCTCAAGATGTTGTCAGGTTCTTTGGTCTACTGCTATCACCCTATTTTCTCTTTGTAAATTTATATCATTTTTCATTTCTTTACTATCATTTCAGACTTTAAGAGGAAACAAGTAAACTCACATGGCTAAACTTGCCACATGTAATGGGAAGTGTCTACTCACTATATTTAAATAAGTGTTTAACCAGGAGCTCCCGGAAGAGGCCAGAGAGGAGGAGCTTAGCCATCTCGGCCCCATCCTGCACCGATGCTTGAACATCCCTCCCCTCACCACCCCGATTTCTCTGCCTTGATTTTTTTTGGTCAGGCAAAAAAGGGTGAAGTACAGAGTGCAAAGATCTGGGTTCATAACTGGACTCCTCCATTTACTACCCCATGAAATCTTATTACATCACCTCTCAGAGCGTTAACGTTCTTGACTGGCATAATTGCTGCCCAGGGTACTGGATTAGCTGGAGACAAGTTCAGTGAGGTTGTGGCTGCTGACAAACTCCTCACTATAAAGCACTCAACCTGGGGAAGAAGTGTGGGTTCTCATACCCTGGACCACTACATTCTGTCTTAGCCTGCTGTACCCCGACTCCCCAGCCCCCCTGCCCTAAGGCCACAGGAGGCAGAGCTCTGGATCCTCACACCCTCAGGCATTTTGTGGTTCCCAGGCCTGACAGTCAAAGAAAACAAAAACAGCAGCCCGGGCCATGGAGGAGGACCAAAAACCCACAAAGCTGGAGGGAGTTCCAGAACCAAGTGGGCACTTTATTAACCTGGCAATGGGGCAACCAGGCAGGCCGAGCAGCCCCTTGCCAGACCTTTCACAGTCCTCAGGGGCCACTGACAGAGGCTGGATTGCAGGGCCCAAGCCCTGGACCCTAGGAGTCCAAGCTGGGCATGGGCAAGCCCAAGGGTGGTGATGGGAGTTGCTGAAAGCAGGCATCAAGTACCAGCCTGCCTCCCTCTGAGGCTGGGGGTGGGGGTGGGCCTGAAATGAGTTACAAGTCCCCTCTCCTCGCCTTGTGCAGCTTGTACAAGCTCAGGCGCTTCCTGGAGTCAGGAAGCCATGAGTCCCACGTCGGCTGCAGTCTGGAAGGTTATCCCGTCCCCCGGCAACGGGGAGGCCAGGAAGGGCCAGAGCCAGACGAGGACCCAGCGGGGCCCCAGAGCTGCCTGCAGGTTGTGGCAGGGGCCCAGGTCGTACACGTGCTGGCCCCGAGCCCACTCCCACGTGGTCTGGCCCCTGAGCAGCAGCATCCCGTGGAAGAGCAGTCCGGCCCCGCACAACAGCGCACCCGCCACGCACGTGTCAGTCACGAAGGCCAGGGCGAACTGTGCCAAGGACACTCTGCCTGCAGGGGGAGAGCAGAGAGGGTAAGGGAGCAGCAGCAGGCTCGGCCCTCCCAGAGCCTGGCCCCTGCCCTCCTCCCGTCCCCTCCTCCGCCATGAAGCAGGGCGCATTCTGCTTAGCAACCTGCAGTCACTGCTCCCTGGCCAGCTTGTGCTGGCTAACGGGAACACGCCGGTGAACTGGGCACACACAGCCCCCTGCCCTAGACACAACCTTCACTCCTGCACCACACCCATGTGAGCACCCCCCACGAATGCCAGGCTAGCATCTCCAGTCTCAGGGAACTCACAAGAGATTAAAGAGATCATGTCTCAGTTACTTAATGACAGGCAGCTGTGATGGGTGTGATGCCAGAAAAAGCATCCTGGACCATCCTCATCTGTAACAGGTAATAAGTATCAGCTGAACCAGTGAACTGCAAGATGCCGTGAAATGTTTTGCCAAGCGAGAGAAGTCCAACACAAAAGGTCATGTATTATATGGTGCCATTTATATGAAATGTCCCAAATAGGCAAATCCATGGGGACAGAAGATCAGTGGTTGCCAGGGGCTGGGGGCACTTGAGGGTGGGGGATGGGGAGTGACTGCTTAAGGGGTAGAGGCTTTCTTTTGAGGGCAATGAAAATGGTCTGGAATTAGACAGTGGTGATGGCTGGACTACTCGAAAACTGAATTGTGCACTTGAAAATGGTTAAAATTATGAGTTTCATGCTATGTGAATTAAAAAAGAGCTGGCTTCACTTTTCACCTGAAATTATCACAACATTGGTAATCGGCTATACCTCAATACAAAATAAAAAGTTCAAAAAAAAAAGAGAGCTGGGCTTCTCTGGTGGCTCAGTGGTAAAGAATCCACCTGCCAGTGCAGGGTTCAATTCCTGGTCCGGGAAGATCCTGCATGTCAAGGAGCAACTAAGCCTGTGTGCCACAACTATTGAGCCTGTGTTCTAGAACCTGGGCGCTGCAACGACTGAAGTTTGTACACTCTAGAGCCCTTGCTCTGAAACAGGAGAAGCTACTGCAGTGAGAAGCCCGCACTACAACTAGAGAGTCGTCCCTGCTCACCACAGCTAGAGAAAGTCTGCAGAGGCAAAGAAGACCCAATGCAGCCAAAAACAATGAACGAATGAATGAAAATGCAAAAATTAGTTTATATAAAAGAGCCTATGGTGGGGGTGGGGAGATGACATGCAAACTTATTAAGAGGCTCAGGGAAATAAACTTCATCTGTTTTGAGAGAGTTGTCTATTTCGGGTGGTGTCTGAAGTTTGCCTTTTCATACCGTTCATGGGGTTCTCAGGCAAGAATGCTGAAGTGGCTCACCATTCCCTTCTGCAGTGGACCACGTTTTGTCAAACCAGTCAATCCTAAAGGAAATCAACTCTGAATATTCATTAAAAGGACTGATGCTGAAGCTGAAGCTCCAAGAGTTTGGCCACCTGATGGGAAGATGTGACTCACTGGAAAAGACCCTGATACTGGGAAAGATTGAAGGCAGTAGGAGAAGGGAACAACAAAGGCTGAGATGGTTGGATTGCATCACTGATTTAATGGACCTGAGTTTGAGCAAACTCCAGAAGATAGTGAAGGACAGGGAAGCCTGGTGTACTGTAGTCTATGGGGTTGCAAAGAGCTGGGACACGACTGAATGACTGAACAACAACTGAAAGTTGAGGAGGTATTTGCTAGGTGAAGAGAGGAGAAAATACTCTGTTTGAAGGTCCTGAGGCAGGATGGAGAGATGTCTGCAAGACAAGTGAGTGGATGGTTCTGGAAGCTCAGGAGAGAAGCCCAGCTTGGATGTGCAGATTTGTGAGTGGTTGGTACGCAGGTGGTTCTGAGACCCAGTAGAGTGTGTAGGGAGATGAGAACGGTGCCTCAGCCAGGAAACCAGGTCTTTGGGGACCAGAGAGAGGGAAACCAGAAAGGAAGGAGGAAACAAAGTACAAGCTGTCAGTGACGTCCAGGTAGAGTCTTTTCAGGAGGTGGAAGGCCATCAGTGGTATGAAGCTGAAAGGTCTCATGAAGCAAGAAGAGAACTCAGAAGGCTCCTCTGGGTTTCATGGAGACAGAGGCCAGGGGACTGTGGCAGTGTTGAAGAATGGGTGGGGGCAGGAGCCAGTTTGGAACAGGGGTGGGGAGAGGCAAGGAAAAGTAGTCTCTGAGCCCAGCCAAGTTCTTTGACTTGGCAGCTAATGGAAGAGCCAGAAAGCGTGAGCTGGAGGAGGAGGACATGCGATGACAGAGGCCTGGTACCAGCTGGAAAACCCAAAGGAGGCCCAGGGAGGCAGCCTGGAGTGGCCGGAGGAGAGGCGACCCACAGTGTGAGGCCTCCGAGCAGGGAGAAGGGGCTGGGCACCCAGGGAAGTTGGGGCAGTCAGCTTCCGCCCTGCGACAGGACAGCCAATTCTGAACTACTTTTCTCTGTGATGGATTTTTAAGAGATGGGGGTTTGGAGGACAGGAAAGTGGGAAGGTTTGAGCTGCAGTGGAGGACAACCAGGAACTACTGAGGGTCTGCTGAGGTCAGCAGCCATGAATGTGACAAGTATCAGCTGTCACGAAGGACCAGGCATGTCTGGCAGCTCTAAGGAAACACAAGGGCAGACACAGAGGAGCCAGGAAGGCACAGTGGAAGGAAGATGGAGCTGAGAGGCCAGAGATGCTGCAGGAGGTTGGTGGAAATGAGGGCGGTGAAGTGGCAGGTGCTGATGGACAGAAAGGTGAGGCCCAGGAGCTCCTGTCACACAGTAAAGAGTGAGTTGGGTAGGAGAGGAGGTGGGAGCAGAGAAGGGGTGGCTGATGGGGTGATTTGGGAGGTGACACATTTTGGATTCTGATGGACTGGGGTGGGATGTGGGAGGAGAAGATAAGAAATTGGGCCATCAGGGCCATTCACCCAGACTTCTGGATGCCGATGCACTCAACAAGGCCCAGGGCTGAGAGAGAGGTGGTGATGGACTGTCTTCAGTGACTGTGGGGAGCAAGTGGGAAACCGTGGATGACCAAGGGGGGTCATTCGTTCAGAGAGGAGCAGCTGAGGGCTTGAGTGTCCATGGAGGCAGGGAGGTCACCGAGGAGGGCAGTGCAGGAAGCCAGGGTCAGCAGAGGAAGGCCCTGACAACCCACTGGGCCTCCTCCCAAGGTCTCCCCTGGGCCGCAAGGAGGGGGTCCTGGGGACAGAGCTGGGTCTGGATAGGATAAGGAGACACACTCGCTGTTCGGAGTGGTCCGGAAGTTTAGTAACTGCAGGACAAGGTTACAGAGAGGACTGTGGACAGCTCAGGAGGAAGGGGTTGGGGAGAGGAATCCCAAAGCATCACGGGGGGCAGAGGACAAAGTATGAAAAGCCACTGGGGTTTCTGTTTTCGGTGGTGTCAGAGGAGAGTGTGTTCATCCAGAACACAGCCTCTCAAACAGCCTCCTGATCCAAGATGTCCCCTCCTAACTTCCAAACACTGGACCTCCGCCTGCCTGTAACCTTCACTGGCTCCCCACTGCCCAGCCAAGTGAGGACCATATTCTCACGTCACATTCAAGGCCCTCCATCACCCAGTCCTCATCTACATCCTAGCCTTAATCCTCACGTTTCCCTCCAAATGTCTTCCCTGCTCTCAACCTCCAAGTCTGTGTTCATGCTACTTCTCTAAGTCTGAATGCCACCTCCCTACTGAGAATACTCCCTCACCATCCCATCTGCCCCGCCCAGTGAAATCCCACCAGTCTTTCCTCCTCTGATTCTCTCAGCCAGAGCTCTGTACCTGTGTCCAGGCCCTGTGATTTACCAGACTGCACACCCACGTGAATACCCAGCTGCCCCTGCCTCCTGAAACCGACCTTGGGACTGGGTCCCTAGGGCACTACCTGGAGAACCCGCCAGGAATCCCATCGCCCACCAGGATGGGCCTCGGCCTCTGTGGGGAGGTTCCCCCGCCCCCGCCCCCCCATACACACACACTCCCCCGCATCCAGGGCTCCCCACCTGTGAGCAACATGAGCCAGGGCAGCAGGAGCAGGGCGGCGGTATGGAGGGGTGTGTGGGCTCGTAGCAGGGCCGACAGGGCCGGGCCCAGCAGCACAGAGGCATGCAGCAGGACACCCGCGCCGTGGAGCAGGAGACACAGGAAGGGCCGGTAGTTGCGGAAGCCCACGCAGCGGCCCAGCAGGCGGCAGTGGTGGTCCCGGCGGAGGATGCAGATGCGGCAGGCAGAACAGTGCCCGCTGCGCGGTGGCACCTGGCTTTGGCACTGGTAGCAGTAACTGCAGGGAAGGAACCACAGGATCAGTCCCTCCAGAAGCTCGGAGAGCCCCTCATGGTGCCTGGATCAGCCCCTGAGCCCATCCTGGGGAACCAGGCACAGCCCCTGCCCTTGCTAAGCCTCAGGTTCTTCACGGGGGAGTAAATGCAGGCTGAACACCACTTCCCAAGCCTTTCCACTTCTAGCACAGCAGGTCTGACAACGCCAGTCCTGAGGTCTTTGGCTGGTTTCTAACATCCAGGAGCAAACTTTTGTCCTCCAGTGTTACCAGCTTGGTCCAAGTCACCATGAACTCTGCCCTGAATTATTGCAACAGCCTCTTAACTGGTCTCCCTGATTCCACCTTTATCCCCTCTACTGTAGTCTCGCCCCAGCAGCCAGACTGATCCTTTAAAAATCTAAGGGGAATTCCCTGGCAATCCAGTGGTTAGGACTCCTCACTTGCATTGCTGAGGGTCTGTGTTTGATCCCTGGTCCAGGAAGTAAAATCCCACAAGCCTGACAGCGAGACCAAGGAAAAGAAATAATAAAATAAAATCTAAATCATATGCCTCCTCTGCTCAAAACCTTGAGATGGCTCTCCATTTCACTTCTGGTAAAAAGCAAAGTCTTCAAAGTCTGTTTACAAAGTCTTTATATCTCTTACACTTTCTTCTCCCCCCGCACACCACCTCAGCCACACTGGCTGTCTTGCTGTTCCCGAAACATGCTGGGCACACAACCGCCTCAGAGCCTTTGCATCGCCTGTCCCTTCTGCCTGGCACATTCTTCCCCCAGATGAATATGGCTAACTCTCCCTCCTCCTTCAAGTCTTTCCTCAAACGCCACCTTTCTATGAAGCCTACCTTGACCACCCTATTTGAGACTGCACTCTTTCTGTTTCCTGACCACCAACACCTTCTAACATTCTACGTTATTTATTTACGACCCTGAAGTTTATCATCTGCCCTCCCCCACTAAAATCAGGAATACGTTTTATTGTACCTCCAGTGCCTGGAATAGTACCCTGCACATAATAATGTGCTCAATAATATTCGTAAGTGAATGAATGAAACTTGTTCTGCCTTCTGGCTGTAAAAGAATTCTCTGGCTCTAACAAGCGGCTCAAACATCTTCAGGTCCTAGGGCCCTCCCCCTGCGCCAAGCTCCCGCTTCTCCCCCGCGCCAGATCCCGAGCCCCACTCACGCCCAGCCCTGGCCCAGACCACGGCCGGCCAGCATCACACCCCGGATGCTGGGGTCCGAGCGCAGGAAGAGCCCCACGTTGCCCAGTAGGTTGAGCAGCTGGAAGGCTGCCAGCGCAACCTGCAGCGTCCGGGCCAAGGGTCCCAGCGGAGGTGGCCCGGGGCCCAGCACTAACACGTAAGCTAGCTCCAGGCCCACCGCCGCGGCCCAAAGCGCGGTGAGCAAGAGGGGCAGCCGCGCGGGAGCCGCCTCCGCGGTCCCTACCGCCCAGGGCTGCCCCATGGCCCACTAGCGGTAGGGCCCCCCGCTAGTACCCCGCCGCTTCCGTATTGAGGCAGGGATAGAGGCAAACAGACGTCTGCTACAACCAATAGAAGCTCGGAAGAGGCGCGTGAGCGCCCCGGTTCACTGGGCGGGCCCACAGGTACGAAGATGTAATTGGACGGCCCAACAAGCCAAAGAGATGCTTGGAATCTCGTTGGCTCTGGAGCCGGGTAGGGCAGCGCTGTTATATCTCCGCCCCTCCGGAGACGCCCCGCCCCTCCCGCGGACGCCCCGCCCCTCCCGCGGCCACCGGGCAAGCTGGCCGAGGTGGCCAGCAAGCCAGGATTGAGTTGCAGCCTTGGTGGCGTCGGGGATTCCCGGCTCAGCACATTCCCCCTCTTCCCCCAGTAGCCCTGATATTAATAGCCCTGCCTCGGCCCATCCAGCTGGCTTGGAATCCCTCTTCATGCTCGAGTGTCTCCCTTCATCACCCCAGAAAACATTCAAAACAGCTCGGCGCCTCGGTGCTTTTGACTGTGAAATGGGAATAGTGGTCCCTGTTTCCCACCACCGCGGCTCAGGAAAAGGGTCAGGAGGAGATCCAAAAGACAGCTTCCAGAGTGGTCTGCCGCCACGATTATCCTCGTCATCTTCGTTGTACATATGGGGAAAGACTCAGAGAGGGCCCGTGGCTTTCTCAAAGTCACACAGCGCCCAAGCGGCGGAGCCAGAACGCGAACCCTGGATCTCCGCCACGGGATCTATCCCAGAGCCTCAAAATTCGGCAGTCTCTTAGCCCCAGGACAATCTCCTGCCTGGTCCCGACCCGAGCGCCCTCGCCCCCATCCGGCCCCACCCTCCTCCCCCATATTTAGCGCGAATCCGATCCGGGGCTGGGCCGGGCGCTACTTAACGCGGCCCCCGTGTTCTGGAGCGCGCCGAGCAGAGCGGAGCCAGAAGCCCGAACAAGATGATGATGGTTCTGCAGCCCGAGGGTCTGGGGACCGGGGAGGGGCCCTTCGCGGGCGGCGGCCGTGGGGGCGGCGAGTACATGGAACAGGAGGAGGACTGGGACCGCGACCTACTGTTGGACCCGGCCTGGGAGAAGCAGCAGCGGAAAGTGAGTGCTAGCCCATTTCCTGATGGCAAAACTGAGGCCTGAGAAACAAGGCGGTTTGTTCTTGGCATCTCAGTAGGTCAGGGGCAAGAGCCTGTCTTAACCCTCAGTGCCACTTCCTAGCCCGGGCTCTGGCCATCAATCCTGTGCTGTCCACCAGAGCCCAAGGAGAGGGCTGGGGACCCTCTTAAGGGGTTTAGGATGACAAGAAGGATTTCTGGGATCTCGATCTCCACCTCCCAAGGGTTCATTCACCTGGGCCCACTTTTCTAAAGAATATGGTTTGGGCAAAGCCCTGGAGATCCAAGTTTGGGTGGGGTGGGGTTAGGAAAAGTCAATCTTTCTCCACACCCACCCCCCGCCTTTTCTGAAATATTCCCAGACCCCACCTGAGGACTTGCAGCTAGGCAACTAGTGAACTTAAGAGTATGGGGGAAGTGGTAGACTTCCAGATTTCCTACCCACCCTCGCTATATTCTGTCTAGCATGATGTCCACGGTCACTCTATCTCAATTGTCAAGTGAGGAAACTGAGGCTAAGGTAGGACCCACATCATATACTGTCAGAAAACAGTCCCCCTCCTTAGGCAACCTGAGGGTCTTTGCCCATTGCTTGTCCCTCCCCCATTCTTTCCCAAGACACCCCTCCCCACCCCAAGGGCCCTGAATCTGCTGAAAAGGCCACAAGGTCGGGGAGGAGGGGAGCCCTGGGTTCCCTTTCGCGGAAGGTAACCTGACTCTCGGGCCAGATGGACACTTTGTGCTGAGGCAGCGCCTTGGAGGAGCTGAGAGGGCAGCTGCTGCCCAGGTCCAGCCTTGTAGGGCACTCAGGCCTCCACTCCCCGATCTATTTTCACTCCTAGACTTTCCCAGATGGAGGGGGCAGGACACCTGGGGACCCAGAAGAGAAAGTGATCTGGGCCTGGAGTGAGGAAATGCTGGGGAGTGGCAGGCTGGGGGTAGGGGGGCACTGTGAGGTCATTAGACTCATCACTTGCCAACAGCGTGTGACCCCAGGAAAGGGTGGGGAACAGGGGTGCTTGGTGGAATTTGCAGGATTTAGAGAATCCCGGATTTAGAATCAGAGCACTTCCGCTGAGTTAGATGACAGGAGGTGACCCCAGGGGCTGGGAGGCTCAGCTGACATGGCTAGGGTGCGCCGGGTGATCTGCCTCCCCCCAGGCTCCTTCTGCACCTGTCTCCAAGCAGGGCTGTGGTCCTCGGGTCCAGCAGTCTCCCAGTGATGTCATCCCTGCCCTGGCTCCCGCTGCCACCTGCTCTGCAACTCCTCTCCCCACCCCACCCCCGCCCACCCAGGCCTCTCCCAGATCAGGTTCACAGGCCCCTCATAAGACACAGGCTAGTCTGTACCTAGCTTTCTTCAAAGTATCAGGAACATCCTTCCAAACCAATTTACAGCCACCCACTTCATCCACTTACTCAGTGATTGCACCCATGTAGACGCTTGGTAAATTCATTAGTGTTCCCTGAAGTTGGATGATCCAGTTGTTTCTCAACCAGCAGTGTTTATTACAATGTAATGAACATCTCTGTGCTCAACTTTAGCCCCACCCCATCCCTGCTTCTCCTCCATATCTTAGAGCACTCCTGCCTCCTCCCATCTGACACCAGAGTCCTCTTTATTCAACCTCATTTGAAAACAGTTGTTTAATATTTCTTAGGGAGGTCCTGGTATGTGCCAGGCACTGTGTCAGGTGTCAGAAATTCAGCAGGGGATGAAATAAAGCCCCTGCTTCAGAGAGCTTAGCGTCTAGCAAGGACAAATGTTTCCATCTCACCCCCTTGCTCCTACCCGTCCCACTCACTGACACCCTCCCTCACCCTGGTCTCAGTCGCCACCTCCTCACTTTTCCCTTCTACTCTGCCAAGCCATTCTCTGCAACCAGAATGAACTTTCTAAAACCCAGTTCTGCCCCTCTCCCTCCCTGTTGCCTTGAGGATCAAGTTCACACTCCCTGGCTTAGCACTCAAGATCGTGCATGACCTGGCCTCTGCCACCCCTCCGGCCCGCCTCTCACCTCTTATACTCCAACATCCCCAGAGCGGTGCCCAGATGTCTGTAGCCCCACAATCCTAGCAACTGTTTGTCATCACCAAGCCCAGCGGCCATCCCTGCCTAGAATGCCCTTGCCTGTCCTTCCCTGCCTGAGTAACTCTTGCTCTTCCATCACAGTTCTGATCAGTTACTCACTTTCCCCAAGAGGTTTGAAGAACACCTGATTTAAGAATACGTCCCCTAAGCTCCTCAATGCTAGTCTCTCCCAGCACTTCACAGGCCCCCAGGACTCTTTGATTGACTGAGTTCCTTTAGGGCAGGAACCAAATCTCATTAAAAGTCATGTTTGTCCTATGAGGGAATCTGCTTCCTCCACTATGGAGGCCTCCCCAGACGTGCCTTTCCCGCTGCCCTGTCTGTGCCCAGAGCATCTGAGACTCCAGGGCAGGAAGGAGCTACAGAGAATCCACCAGCGCTCTCCTGTGCTCGGGGCGGCATCGAGCAGTGCTCAGCACCCACTTATACACTTGAGGGAAAGAATTCCAACTTCCTTCCTGGGGTGTCTGCTCTGTGGGGGGGGGGGGGGATGGGAGGGGGAAATGCTTTGAATCCCAGGATCCTGCAAGATCAGGGGAGGAAGAACCTGAGACATCATTGACTCTGAACTCGAATTGTACAAACAGAGACGGAGCCGAGGAGAGGGCGAGGGGCACATCCCAGGTCACAGTAGCTCAGCTGGGGTGGGAGTCTGAGTATGGATTCTACCAAGGACTGCCAGCTGAGGGCAGAATCCGGGGCCTGAGGCCTTGGGAGGTTGTAGAAACTTGTACACCAGGCTCTAGGTCACTGCCATCCCCCAAAGGCACGCAGCATATATCACCCCTCCCATCTCAGACAGAGGCTGAGGCTGAAGCACGCCCTGGCCAGAGAGGGCGGGCAGTCTCCTCCAGAAACTAGGTCAGGCTGTGCCTCAGTGTCCCGCTGTTCCTCAAGGGCCTGCAAAGCTCATGGGCCGCTTGGGGGCCAATTCACAATAGCCTTAGGAGGTCAGTGGGGCTGAGACGATAATAACACAGATGCACAGTCCCTCGGACCAAACCTTCCAAGCCATCTGTGCTGTGGCCTGAAACGTTTCAGATTTTAGTAAGGCAGTGTCCCTGGTGTCTCAGGGGACCCCACACTGGCTGGAGACTGGCCAAAGCTCTTGTTGTGCTGGCAGCATCCACACTGGGATCTGAAGGGGCCCCAGACCCCATTTCTCCCCGTTTCCAAGAGAATTAAAGCTCAGAGAGGGACAGCGGCTGGCCCCAGATGCACAGCAAGTGAGTGGCTGAGCCAGAACTTGCATCCGGGGCCTCGGGGTCTGAGATCTACCCTGACCAAGGAGCCAGTGCCCTGTCCTCAGCACTAGGGTCTGAGCGCTGTCCTCTGCCCCCAGACCTTCACTGCCTGGTGCAACTCGCACCTGCGCAAGGCTGGCACCCAGATCGAGAACATCGAGGAGGATTTCCGCAATGGCCTCAAACTCATGTTGCTCCTGGAGGTCATTTCAGGTGAGGGGTGCAAATCAGTGCACAGGGACCCCAGGACCCAGGGGAACCCAGAGAGCCAGCCGAGTGCTGGAGGGGACGTGCCGAGGGAGGGGGAAGTTTGAGGACCGTGTCTTCAGCTTCCTCCCCTGTCCTTTGACCCTTGATCTCTCCTCTCACACCCAGGAGAGAGGCTGCCCAGGCCAGACAAAGGCAAGATGCGCTTCCACAAGATCGCCAATGTCAACAAGGCCCTGGATTTCATTGCCAGCAAGGGGGTGAAGCTGGTGTCCATCGGTGCTGAAGGTGAGGAGGTGGCAGGAGGCGGCTAGCAGGGGCTGGGGGTGCGGTTCCTC